TTTGTTTGTTTGTTTGTTTTATACAGTGTCTCACTATGTAGCCCTGGCTAGCCTGGAACTTTGTGAATCAGGCTGGCCACAAACTCACAGAGAACTGGCTGCTTCTGCCTCCCAAGTTCTGATTTTAAAGGCCACCATGCCCAGCCTGAAAACAGTGGTTCTTAGAACTAAAAGTATGTTTGAATCTGGTTAATGAGTACTTAGATGTTCGTTAGATCGATCAGAAAAAAGTTCACAATAAGAAGTTAATAAGTGATTCCCTCTCATCAGTAGTCAGGGACCAGGCCAGAAGCTAAGGTAGAAGAGAACTTGGAGACCATGTATTGACCTCCCAGAATGCAGCCAGATGAAAAATGACTTCCTCAGAAATAAGCAAGACGCGGCAGGGTGGCAAGGATGAACCTGGTGAGAAGCAGGCAGCAGGACCAGTGAGACCACTGACTCAGTAGGTGGCAAGGAACCATGCAGGGCCAAGTACTTACTTGAGCTTCAGCTCCCTGGTGAGCTCATTCTGAGTCTGCTCCAACTCTTGGCGCTCCTTGATATGTTCTTCTTGGAGGTCATGGATCTCAGCCTTCACAGCCTGGAGCTTGGAAAAGAGCTAGAGCCAAGGAAGAAGTAGGTGAGGAGAGGTTGTGCACAAAGAGCTCACCCTAGCCCCAGCTCTCAAGGCCTGGACTCCAGACTTCCCTACCTTTTTGAGGTTTTTGGTCTTGATGTCTACCTCCTGCTGCAATGAGCTGTATGTCTCTTTAAGCTCCAAGGTCTCCTCATCTCGACTTTCCATTTGCTGCTGAATTTCTCTTTCTCGACGTTTCTGAGCGATATCACAAAATTCATCAGCTTACCCTAGAGACTGTCTACATAAGAACACAGATCTGGATGCTCCCAGTTGGTCTCCAGCCAACATGAGGCTGGCACAGCTCCTCTCCATTCCCTCTGCAGATGGTTTCATACCAGAGGCATCTGCTCTGTGGCATCAGTGCATGTCAGTCCACTCCTTCCTCCCCACACAAGAATGCAAAGTTACCTGCTCTGCAATCTCCTGCCGTTTCTGCTCCAGGATTTTCTGCTGTTCATTTGTATGATCTACTATGTTTTTCCCTCCAACAAGCAGTTTACTCTCCATGGCCTGTGTGAGAAACAAAGTAAAATCCATGCTGTGAATGCAACTCCTCACAGGGAAGTCTGACAAATAAAAACAGCTCTTGTCTGGCCAAACGGGAGGATCACAAGCCAAGTCTCAGCTACACAGAGTAGAGGCCCTATCTTTAAAAAAAAAAAGAACTGGAAAGATGCTCAGGAGTTAAGAGCACTGGCTGCTCTTGCAGAGGACATGGGTTCAGTTTCCGGCACCCACACAATGGCTAAGAACTGGACATAACTCTAGTTCCAATGGATTCAATGCCCTCTTCTGACCTCCACAGGCATTGTGCATGGATGCACTAAGCACATACAGGCAATACTCATACACATAAAAATATTCAAAACAAAAACAAAAACCTTTGTGGTGGTGGGGAAAGAGGGAATAGATAGATATATGAACATAT